CTTTGCTACGGAACATCTACTAAAGAAGTCTTAGGAAGACTTCTGGGTTTTTTGGGACCAATACTAAAAACAACACTGTTAGGATGTTTTATATCTGGGGCACTTCAGCACTGACAAATGCCTTCTCATTTTATCATGCTGCAATCAAGGTGACAAAAAAGTGTGGCAGCTACTAGAAACTCCCCCGCAGCCCAGCAAAAACAGGGTCTTGAAAGGAAAAGTTTGGCACACAAAAAGCTCCAAACACAAAAAAGCTAAACCTCCACCAAACCATTTCTGCTCGTTGTGAGCCTGCCAAAGCAGAGCAGACTTTCTCAACAGAAAAGGCTACATTATGCTAGAAGGAAATGAGCTGCAAGGCACAGGAAAAGGGAACGCGAGTGGAGATTTATGGCACCACTGAAAGCAGGCACTGTACTGCCAGATCAGGAGTAAGACTACCAAAAGATGCTACCTCTGTTTTTTTGTCTATCAAGGAAGAAGGAGAGTTTGTGTTGCAGGGTATCTGCACTACTGACATCCGTAACAAAGCTCGTTGTTTCAGCTTTCTGATCACAATGGCTATGTTCAGCCTCATCAGATTTTTCCACTTTTTCAGAAAAACACAAGGGGAAAAAAACAAACTCCAACCCCTAAATCCAAACCAATGAACTTCGCCAAATAGTAAGTAGGAAACAGAATGTTACAAATGTTCTAAGTTTTGTTTAAGCATTGATGATTTCCTGAAGTACAAACTTCAGGCGTTTTTTTAAGTCATTGTGTCCTGCTACTGCTTCTGAACACCATGTGGAAGGATTTGTTCATGCTGACATTTTTTACTTTGCTTTATTGCAGCTTTTGCACTTTGTGTTGTACATGTTCGCTCTGCACGCTGACTTCTGGATGTGCACAGACTGCAGCAGAAAGGCACATCTGTGGACAAACAGACCCACTGCCTACTTCTGGCATGAGCTAATTAAGAAGAATATAAATTTGTTTTTATTTTCATTTTATGCTGCCAGGAATCTCTGGTTGCAGCTCCTTTTTACCCCCCCTGGTAAAATCGCTCTCAGAGGTAAGCCTAAGCCGCTAGCCTTGAAAAGCTGCAGGATCTCCCTGGAATTTTACCAAGCTGTTTGAACCTTGCCATGGCTTTTCTTGCAAGTAAAACTGTGGCATGTTTTCAGCTCCCCAAACTAGGTGAATGCCTACTCCAAAGGATTCTGATGGACAACTGTATGTTTGCACAGACTGTGAAAATGTGAAAATGCACTAATATCCCTACAGTATATTGTTATGTAAGTGTAACTTGCACAGTGCATTTTGGATGAACATTTCTAAATTTCTCTTTAAAAATGTAGTATTTGATCTTTCAAAGATATGCACCTTTCTTCGTACTGAGCATCATACCAAAATGTGGACACCTATCAGCTGTTCTTTACACATAGTTCCTGTACATTTAATTTTCATTAGTTATGAATCTGAGCCTCAGACTCGAGACTGCATGGTAAAAAATGTTTGCTAGTGCCTCAAAAGTACCTTTGTAGTTTCTTGCTTTTAAGGAAGACACGACTCCCACCTTTATTTAACTACAATTTGCATTAATAAGAGGACAAAATGTTGAATTACATTTCTCTACAGTTTGGGTCTGTCCTATTGTCCTGAAAAAGTATTAGTCATGTAGGTTTAAACACTGTGCACTCTGCCAGCAAGCGCCATGTGGAACTGAATGCTAAAATATTAGTTAGCAACATGTCTAACAGAGATAAGGAAGACTCCTTCTTTCCAGAAACAATTTTTTGTTCACGAGTAAGAACCACTGAGGTAATCTGCATTGCTCTCACAAGCGGGCAAGAAGCGTGTCCTGAAACTTCAACTAGCTCCAAAAGTGCAAAACTTGCACAGAGACTCAGAGAGCAGTGCTGCAGCACTGCTGTTTTCTGCCATCCCAGGTAGGATTGCAGAAGCAGGAAGAAATCACACCACGATGTGGGCAACAGTCTTTCCTTCATACACCTTTCTTTCTGCTGCAGCCCTGGAACTGGGGTACTGTTCCAGTAAAGCCCTTTTGGGAGGATCTCCTGGTCGTTCCATACACTACTTGACAAGGACTTGGATCTGACCAGGTGCTGGTTGATTCAATGACCAGCAGCCAGTCTCCTTTAGCACCAGTGGCACATGAAACATGACCATGTAGGCATTACTACCTATTTATTGCTTTTTGAGTTCTCACATTTTATGAAAAATTGAGTATAAAGACCTCTCTCAGTTCTTTTCAGTTCTCTCGGTGCATTTTCTTTCCCTGGTGTTAAGCTAGCAGCTTGCCAGTCCTGGTGATGTCTGTCTGTAAGGCCTAGCTGTGGGACCTTAGGGCATGTTAAAACAACAGGAGACATATCAGCAAGAACAGTGCAAGGAAGTGAACGCAGGAGGGCTGGTAAGTAGTTTCCTCTGAAGGGCAAGGAGGAAAAATCCTATCCTCTGCAATTACACCTCTGAACTTGGTGCCATCTCCATGGAAGAGGTATTTAAGCAAGTGGAAACTTCCTGCAGATGCATACACGGTTGTTAGTAAGCAAGTACAGTGTCAGGCATGCATTGTGGCAGCCAAGGAAGTGTGTTTGCTTGTTTCCTTGCTGCGGTTTTATCACATGAATAATATTTCTGCATACATCTTATGACAATCCTGACAGAAGGAAGCATCTCCCATATAAGAGGGCTTCCAGCTCATGGACATTCTGCTGACACCATCAATGAGGTGGCAGACTAACAGCACCTATGGAACAAGGCAAATCCCATTTTTGGGGTGATGTTGGAAGACAAATTCCAGGAGGCAATTTCCAAAAGTCGTAATAATTGAACACAGTGTTCACAGGCCATCTGATCACAGTTTTGGTATTAATTAAATGGGATGTACTCAAATTGGGAACCTGTTTATAAGGGGTTTTTACACTCAGCTTATATGTGAGCAGAATGAGTGCTAGAAACATTTTTAGAAACCTAGTCAGCTGATGCACATTATTTCTGCCTATGGCATATTTAGTTTTAGCTGACATATTTCATTGTAGCTTAATCTCCAGGTCTTTTAATGGCTCTTATGCAGCCTGCTGTTTACATTCACATCCATACAATGGACTTTACCAAAATCCGAGTGCTACCCTATAGCTACTTGCATGCAGCTTTACAAGCTTGATAAACAAATGCTTTAAGAGAGGTTCATACATATATATAAATGGCTGCAATTTGTACCTACGTTTGCATGTACATTTCTAATGTAAGAATGGTAATTTTGTTATTCAGACCAAAAGCAGCAGGCTGGTATCAGACATTAATCAGGCTGCTGTTTCTAATTCTTGTACTTTTCTAAAGAACAGAGGAATGTGGCAGGAACTACACAGAGCCAACTCATGGAGCTTCTTACCCAGTTTTTCGTCTGCATTGGCAAAACTGTTGTTGAAGCCCTGGATGAGAATTTCTCTGTGTAGCTCATCTCCTAAACAAAAAGTAATGGCGTTTTCAAGCAGTTAGATAGTATCTGTCAGTTACTACTTAGTAGCCAATAAAGAGTGCGTTACTTCCTTTTAAGCTGTACCACTTCATCTGAGTATTGGTAAGCTTTAATGCGCAGCGTAACTGAGTACATTAGCAGGTTATTAATAGCAGGAGAGATTTGTTTTCATGGCATGTAGCCGTTTCTAAGACAAAGCAGTTTGGGACGGGGCAGACTGAGCTCTAACAGCAATGATCCTGGAGCGGTTGTGCTGGATGAAGGGATGTGCTTGTACCTGAAGGCAGCTTTTATTTCCCTGGGTGCAACCATGAGATTTCATGGGGTCATAACGGGCTGTGACACACAGGGAGACCCCAGTGTCATTGGAACACTCTCAAATACAGTGGATAATGGCATTCACACCTCAAAGCCTTCTCTTTTGCCTCCTTACGTTATGCCAGGGCGGACTCAGAAAACAATCTGACCATTTCCTCCAAATGCTGATCGTAAAATGTTTTATTTTGAACTAGCAGAGATAGTGCATGGAAGGCAATCGTGAGCTCATTGATTTATAGTCTCATCTTCACAGTCTTTTCCAAATACTCCCTCATGTTTCCTCTGTTGGCTACTAATTGCCAAGATTACCGTGCTTTCTGCCCACCCTGCAGGTGACTGGAATTGCAGAACAGCTAGCAAAAATGTAACACAAAAAGTTTACAAATCCCAGCATCGGACAATTTCATTTCATAGCACAAAGATACCCTCTCGTGTTTTTGGGTATCTGCAGCACTTTCATACACGGATAGCACATAATAGCGACTTTGCCACAGGACACCTTTGAGTTTTATGCTGCAGCCCTGAAGGGAAGAAGGCTCTCTGCCCCAGAAGGCTGACACGACACCCCACACTGCCTTCGGGTCAGAGCGGTGACACCGCCCGCACGCCTTCCATCATTTGGAAGGAAGTCTTCCCCCCACGTTACCCTGTACCGGGCAGAGAGCCGCCTAACGCCAGCATAGGGCAACAGGTGCTTTGGTCTTGAGCTGAAAGCCTTCGGCCGGGCTCCTCTTGTCCCGCCGTGCGCAGGCTGCGGGCCGTGCCGGTGCGAGGCGCAGCGCCCTCCGGCCGCGTTCCGCTGAGTGCCGCCCGCAGAGCCGCGCCGTCCACCGGCGCCGTGCTTCGCTGTTACGGACGGGCCGCTGACACGCGGTGTCACTTCGCACCTACACGCAGCCAATCCCGCTCCCGGGGCGGCTGTCCGAGCTTCATTTAGCGAAAGTTTTTGGGTAGAACGCTTCAGGCGCTTGACACCGCTAGGCTTTACCGACAACGCCAATACGCCAATACTTTACCCCGATCCGACGCCTTTGGTGGGACGGAAAGGCGTTCCGCCGGCTTCGCCGCAGACGGGAACCGGCTCCCGTCTGCTCGCAGCCCACCCGGCCGCCGCCCGCCCGCTGCGACCCGGCACGGAGTCGGCGGCTCCGTCGGGAGGGCGCGGATCGGCCCCGCCGCCCGCGGCGACCCTTACCGATGATGATGGCACAGGCGCTGAGCAGCCCGATCTCCTTCTTCAGCGCCACCCGCTCGGGGCCGCCGGGCGCGCCGCGCTGCTCCCCGCCGGCCATCGTGCCCGCGCCGCTCTGCCCCGAGCCGCGCGCATGCGCCGCCCCCAGCGGGGCTCCGGGGGGGTCCGAGAGCGGGGTTCGAGGGGGCGGCGGGAGCGCGCCGGGATGAGGATGAGGATGTGCCGGGCGCCTCTCGGGGCCGCGCGGCGGACGTGCGCACCTGCTGCGAGGAGCGGGCGACTGCTCTCCCGCTTATGTGCGGGTGAGCGCCGCGTGGTAGCACCGCGTTAGCGGCGCGGAACGCAGCGGATGTCTCCACCTGTGATCCCACGCGGTGCGCACCGGCCGCCGCAAAGCAAGCGCGAGCAAACAGAGTTTGTTTTCTACGCGCGGGGCGCGCAGGTAATCACTGGGACGCTTCTTTCCCAGGAACGTGGGAACTGTGGAGAGTGTCGGGGAAACGGCGCCGTACGGGAATTTACACGTCCTTGGCTCGGTGAACGAGCCGCTTTCGCAGAGTGCTAGCTGGGGAGGTTCCCTGCGCTCTCAGGTGAAATCAGAAAGTGAAATCCCAGCTTGGCAGCCCGGGCTCCTCCGTTCACAACGGTTTGCCCGGGGGTCCCCGGCGCCGGGTCAGAACGGGCGTTCCGCGTGCAGCTCCGCAGCGATGTGGAAGCCCGGCTCAGCGGGGAGGGAAATCCCCGCCTGGGGACGCGTTCGGGAGGCGCGCAGGTGAGAAGCGCGCGGCGAGGCCCGGAGCTGCGTTGGGGCGCGCGGCGCGTTGTCGGAAGGTGCGCGGCTGCGGTGAGGGGATGAAGGAGGTGGGAGTTTCTGTGGCGACATCTCTCTGATTTTGTTTGGCTTTAGAACGCATGGAATGGCTGAAAAACTGGCGGCCGCCTTGCGGAAACCCGAAGGCTGTCTTTATGGAGTGGAGAACCGTAAGTGATTTTACTTTATAAAGCTGCTCAAGCTCCTGCTGTTTAAGAAGACCCGCTGATTTTCGGGGGTTGAGATGCGTTTCCGAAATTGATGTATTGCTCCATAGAATTGTTGTTTGTAGATGAATGGCCTGGCAAACTACTCCCTAACAGGTGCTTCTATTGAATGACTTCACACTGTTGGTACGGAAGCGCTTTATAGGAGGATTTGCTTCCTGAACTGCGTGCGAGCTGCTGCTGTTGTCATTTTAAAGGCAGGAAAACGTGCAAACCGCAAACAAAAGTTTAGATGCTCTCTGACGTTTTAGCTGTTTCTCCTACGTGGTTTAAGTTGTTGCTGAGCCCTGCTTTCCACTGGTGGCAGCTGAAGTAATTCGTAGCACCTCTGATTGGCTCACCCAGACATTACGATTAACTCGGTGCAAACACACCTGGGATGGTCCGTTGTTTTGTTCGAGGTAAAAATAAAATTGAATTTTGTTGAAGTACAAAATCCAAGAAAAACAGGAATGAATTGTGTTATCAACTGCATTACTAATGGCGTTACTGAGTTCTATGAAGTTTCAAATCATTGAACTCTTACAGATCAACCACAAGATATGTTTAACGAGTGACACTTAAAAGGATGATGTGTACTCGGGTTCTTTTGCTGTGGTGGAAACGTTGGTTTGCTCTGAACTGTGTGTACAGTCTTTGTGTTGCTGTGCAGAGGATGGAAGTCCCAGGCAGTTCTCTTAAGCTAATGGGAAGCTGCACTCTGGCTGTGGGCTGAAGGCAATAAATAATAGGATTCAATTAACTCTATTTATCTTTTCTAGCTCTACTGTGTGGTAGTTGGAGGTGTCTTTTTCTCTTTTCTCCTTTAAGTTTTCTGTTCAGCACATGGGTTTCTGCTAGTTGAACTATTAAATATTCATTTATATCAGCATGCAGGTGTGCACTGTACATCTTGTTCTACAAACGTTCCTCCTTGATGAAAAGCATGGGGCGTATATTTGTGATTTGATTCAGGTGTGGGTGACGAGCAGGGTTGGATGCAGCTGTGTTGGTGGGGGGGGCTGGGGGTGGCTGCTGCCCAGCAGCTGTGCTGCCTCTCCCTGGAAACTGAGGCTGAGTGTGTGGTGTGTGGGTAACTTCAACTGGGATCCTTGTATAGTTCTTCATTCAATGAATATTGGTTTACTATTTTGTTCCCCCCCATGTGTGCATAAGAAATATAAGATAAAATATCTTTTTCTTCTTTTTTTTTTTAAAGTGTTTTGATTTGTTGATGGAGTAAGCAGGGGGCAGTTCACAATGTGAGCTTTAGATATTTCTATATCCATAGCAAATCACAAGGGTGTAGAGCAGCACTGGGCCAGAGCCCTTTTGGAAAAGGCAGTATGACAAAGGTTGCCCTCATTAGCTGCCAGAAGCTGCTTATTTATTTAGTTAGGCTGGGTGCCTGCGGGCTTCACTGTATTCTCTGCACGAGGAGGGGATTCTTCTCTACACTGCTTGTGTGAATATCGGCTGCTTACTGGGGTTGGGTGTTCTGCCCTATGGTTAATAATGTTCCAGAAGAAGCAAGTCAGAAGGCATGTAAGTTTGAATTGGTAGCTATCTGAGAGAACTTTCAGAGCAAAGCCTTCTTTAAAATTGTTTTGGATATGGACATGCAGTATCTAATTGAATGATGAAATGTTAGTAAGCAAAAAAGCCAAAGTTCTTTGTAGGAGGGCAATTGCTGCGTAGCAACTGCACAGAGAGGATACAATGAAGCTTGCATGTGTTCTTTTGTTGCTATTTTTGTCCTCCTTTTCTCAATGTCCTGAAAGGTACAGAAATTGTTGAAGTTGTTGGGACCAATTCATTTGTTCCTTATGCCTTTAAAAATGAGGGGGGGGGGGCAGACAGTGACCGTTTGCTTATATATATGGGAAGAAATAATAAGGGAGTTCAAGGAGGGGTGTTGTGACGGAATTTTCAGATGAACGTAGTCTTTAATGTATGTGAGGTGAAAGAATTGCAGGGATTGTGACAGTAACACCCTGCCCACTCTGTTTTTGTACTCATCTAAAAAAAATTCTATTAAAAAAAAAAAGTCCAAAAAAATGAAATGTCCCATGCCTGCTGCTGAAAACAGTTGTTAAAAGTGTAGTGCAACTTCCAGTTTAATGGGGTCACCATAAACAATAAGTGGGAAAGAGCTGAAAGGATAAAGCAGGTTGTAGTGTATCTTTAAAGAGCAGACGATTGGTTTAACAAAAGGCAATTAGGGAAGTAATGGGATTGTAAAGTGAATGTTAATTGCTAATCAACTTCAGAGGAAAGTTTGCCACGTTCCTCTTGATTGCCACCTATTCTGTATCATTGCAAACTTTATAAATAAAAAATAATCATTAATTTTACCTTTGTTTCTTGTTAAAGGACAAAGTGAGGACTGAGCAACCAGACTGTGGGGAGTGTTTGCTACTGACCTTTGCACTACCCTCTCAGAACTTTGCTCTGCCCTCGTGGAGCGCTGATCTCCAGGACAACTCAAACACTGCAGTTCTCCCTCACTGCCCTGTAATGGTTGGTGTGGGTACTGGGAGTACAGTTGCTGTGAGCTGGAATCCAGCGACCACCTCTAACCAAAAACATCTTGTGGTGTGTAGGCAGTGGGGAGTCTGGGTTGTCACAGAGCATTTGATTGTCTCTTGCTGCTTTCTGAAGTCTTTGGGAAGACTTCTTGCCTCTTTAAAGAGGGGGCAGGTTTGTGATCAAAAGCTGGAGTTAGCAGATAAGTGGTCTTCAGGCTTACAACCATGGCTTCTAAGTAAGTTAAGCTTACTGGTTCCACTCTTCCATTGTCCTCTGCAAGATCTGTGAGCTTGAATCCAGTAATTCAGAAACTTGAGGAGATCATTCAGGCTATGTAACTGTTCTGCCCTCCTCTAAAAAGGATGTAGCTTTGTACGCAGTAGAGGTTCACCTTGTGTTAATAACTCTCCACAGACCCTACTAAGAAAAGTAATTTGGCAATATATAAAAAAATCCACTCACTTAAGGCAGCAGGCTTTCATCCTTAGGTCCAGAATGTTTGTTGTCTCTAATGTGAATTATTTACCAAGCATGAGCTGCTGGACACTTAGCTATCTGTGTCAGAACTCTGTGTTTCTAAATTTCCAGCTGTATAAAATGGGCTGTTGTATGTTCAAATTACATCATTCCTTCAAAGGTACTCCTTCAAAGATATTTCATGGTGGCTGATAAGCAGATGAGTGTAAGTAAATCTACTTGTGAAGTTATTTGTAGGTTGTTGAATAATTAGGTTTGTATAGCCAGAGTTGCTCGAAGAACATGCTTCCTGTTGAGCACTTGTACTGTTGGTTTACTGGAGTTGGAAATGAAGTGATGAAAGGGAATTGAAACAATGATCAGTTTTGGAACAAACACTTATGCTGCTTTTTTGTCTCATTTTCAGTATAAAATACTTTGGTTTACCAGATCAGAATATTTTTAGTCTTATTTTTTTGTGGATTATGAAAACCCTATTTTTTTTCCCCCTTCAAAGAGCATGTTTTTCAAACCTCATTCTTACTGCTTAAGATGGACATAATATTGAAGCTTAATGCATTGCAACTTCTAACTGGGTTGGAATAATCCCCTCAATTTCTCACAAGTAACACTTAAAGTATTGTGCTGTTGACTTGGGTTTTGGTTTGAGGTTAACCGTGATGTGTTTCACTTCCTTTCAGAAGGAATAGCCTTACCAGATCCTTTTCCCTCTATACTGCAGCCTATGCTGTCCCTCACTGTTCTTCATCTGTGTGCAGCATCTTTCTTTTGAGGTTGGTCTCTCAGTTGAATATCATTTCCCTGTGATATTCCCAATTGAAACTATCCTGAATTTTATTGCGTGTTGTTTCTCTAAATACCATTGCCCATTCTTTTCTGGTGCACTCAAAATGAATATTTATCCCTGATAGATTCTAAGGCCCACCTTGAAATTTCTTTCTAGTTCATAGGAACGTTGTGGTTAACCACCCCTTTAGAGGTGGTGTTGGATGTTGTTTTCCCCTCAGAAATTTACACGTGTAAATTATGACAATTATCATTTGGCTCTTATTGTCTTACTTATGAGCATGACGCTTTGGGCAGAACCGAAGGCTCTGAGTTTCTAAAGGAAATTCGTTCACATCCACCGCTTCCCCTTTGCTCCCGATCAGACGCATTAATCGTGACCCGAATTTCTGTGAACGCCTGTTATCCTCAGAGAAGCCCGGTAGATGGCACTCTGGTCCTGTAACTTGGTATTTTAAAGCCAAAATTGTCATTTTGCCC